AGATCCCCTTACTGGTCATCTTTAAAAAAAAAAAGAAAACTTAAGAAAAACAAATTTTAATATCCTTAGAACATACCACGTATGTGACGAAGAACTGGGTGTTATTAAAAGGAAAAAAAAAAAAAAAAGCAATCCACGACACAAAAGAGTCCTTGAAAATTAAAAAATATGATGGCCAACATTTAAAAAGGCAATAGTAAGGTTGGAAGACAAAGAAAATTTTCAGAAAGTAGAGCAGAAAAGGCAGAGATAGAGAATAAGAGAGAGAGAAACAAAAAGACAAGAAAACTAGAGTATAAAACCAGGACATCTAACATTCATCTAAAAGAGATTCCTGAAAGAAAGAAGAGAGAAAACAGAGGAGAGGAAATCATCAAAGAAAAAAACTCAAAAAAAAAGTCCCCAGAACAGAAGGTGCTAAGTTTCTAGATGGAAAGAACCCACTAAGCACCCAGCACAGTGGATGAAAGAAGGCCACACTAAGACCCATCATCGTGGAATTTTAGGGACACAGAGAAGATCCTAAAAGCTTGCAGAAAGGAAAATGCAGGGCACATACAAGGGACAGGAAACCAGAATGGCATGAGACTTCTCAACAACCACACTTGCAGCTAGGAGCCAAAGGAGCAAAGCCTTCAAAATTCCCACAGAAAATTATTTCCAACCTAGAATTTTATTTCCAACCAAACTATTAATTGGATGTGCAGGTAAGAAAAATAAAAAACATTTGCAGGCATGCAGTCTATCAAAAATCTTATTGCTCTTTCTCAGGAATCCACCAAAGTAAAAGAGTAAATCAAGAAGGGGGAAGGCACAGGACTACTTTAATAAAAATAAAACACTTTTTAAAATGACATTTAAAAGCTAGTTTTCCCTGAGTAATCTCATCCCCAGAATCTGGTCCTCATGCACTCACCATCACTTCCAAAAATCAAAATGCTCAGTTCTAAAGTGCATGTTTATTCACCTTTTAACATTTCTGAAATTGAGATTATATTACAAATGGTGGCCTCTTTGATCAATAAAATATGCAGCAGCTAATACTTGCAAGCTGTTTTATAGTTTGCCACAGTATTTCATGTACCGTTTCTTTCTTAGGTTTCACAACTTCCTGAAATGAGTTTTACCATCTCATAATGAACCCCAAGAAACAGAGACTCCATGTGGCGAAGCCACTCAGGGCAGAGCCTGGACCACGTGGGTTATGGATGGAGGATTTAGTGTTGACTGAGTACCTTTTCCTTACCAAGAATTTTAGATACATCATCTTATTCGGGAATCCTCAGCCATCTACTTTTCTTCATCTGACAGCTGAAGGAAATGAGGCTCAGAGAGGTTAAGCAACATGCCCTACCTCACACAGCCAGTAAGTGGCAGAGCCAAGATCTGGACTTGAACATCTTTCCACTTCCTCTGCTGTTTGGCTGGCATTAGGGGCAGCAGCTGTGTTCCCATGGGAACTGTATTAGTCAGGGTTCTCCAGAGCAACAGAACCAGTTAGACAGTCAGATAGACAGCCAGAAAGAAAGGGGGGGGGGAGGAAGGAAAGAAAGAAAGAAAGAAAAGAGAGGGGATTTATTAGGGGAATTGGCCTAAGTTCTCTACATATTTCTTTCTTTTCCTTTTTTTTTTTTTTTTTTTTTTTTTTTTTTGTGACCAGTAATGGTCGCAAATTGCGCCTGTACCGCGACCGGCAACGGGGTCGCAACCCTCGGTGTCGCGCTCACACCGTGCTCAACCAGTGAGCGGACCGGTCTCTATATGGGATCTGAACCCTCAGCGGGAGCGCCGCCGCACTCCCAAGTGCCGCGCTCTACCGAGTGCGCCACCGGCCGGCCCTCTACATATTTCTTAATCCAGCAACTTGACGCCTAAACTTAATCATCACAGGAACCAAGCATGGAGAACCCCAGCCCATGGCAGAGCCCACCCTCGCCCCTCTCCTGGAGCTCCAGCAGCACTCACTGCATGAGCATGTCCCAGGCCGGGTCTGAAGGGTAGCGCTTGGATTCACCCATGAACAGGGACCGATATCGCTGCCGTCTGTCCTTCTTCTCCATCAGCCAAGTGTTGAGGTAGCGGCCCACACCTACTGGGTTCTGCAACAGGCAGAGCAGGGCAGGACATTAGCAAGCCTGGCTCAGACGCTTGGCCTCAGGCCTCCACCTTCCCCCAGACTCCTTCCTACTCCACCTGTTATGGGTTGAATTATGAATTGTGTCCCCCCAAAAGATATATTGAAGTCCTAACTCCAGTCCCTCAGAATGTGACCTTATTTGGAAACAGGGTTGTTGTAGATATAATTAGTTAAGATGAGGTCATACTGGAGTAGGGCAGCCCTTAATCCATTATGACTAGTGTTCTTATAAGAAAAGACACATGGCGGGGAAGATGCGAGACATGAAGGCAGAGATTGGAGTGGTCTTCACAGGTCAAGAAACACCAAGGATTGCTGGCCACTACCAGAAACTAGGAAAAGGCAAGGAAGAATTCTCCCCTACAGGTTTCAGAGAGAGAGAAGACACCTTGATTTCAGACTTCCAGTCTCCAGAACTGTAAGAGAATAAATTTCTGCAGTTTTTAAGTCACCTGGTTTGTGGTTCACTGTTACGGCAGCCCTAGGAAACAAATACACCCTGCCACCCAGAAATCTGAGTGGCAGATACAAGAGGTGCCAACAGAGAGGTTCAGAGGTCCCAGTGACAAGGACCTTGTAATTCGCCCAAGGTGACATAGCAAGGGAAGAATAAAGGCAGGACAGGAACCCAGCCATCCACGGAGAAGCAGTGCCAAGGGCGGGCTGGGAGGATGTTAGGAACCAGAGGCTAGTCCAGTGTTAGTCAGAACTTGCCTCCCACAGGGAGAGGCCTGTCTCGGGAGGGAGCAGGCTCCCAGGTTGGTGGTGCCAGCAAAGGCTTCCTGCCCTGCAGAGAAGTGCAAGTGTGCCACTGAAACCCGGACCCCACATCAGCCCTTCTGTTGGGAAAATAGAATAGTTTGGTCAGGGCCCTCGCCTCAGGTCCAGTTGGGTGTGGTTCAGCATTCTTTGTAGGCAAATTGTGTGTGTGTGTGTGTGTGTGTGTGTGTGGAGTTAGTGCACACAAGCACCAGTGTATCTTTTTAGTTTTGTTGCTATTCGTGTGTTCTTCAGAGAGAGAGGGAGAGAAGAGAGACGAGCTTTAGTGAAGCAGGCGGGCGGGCGTCTGCCTTGGGCGTCTGCCCTGCATGGCCCTGCTTTCCAACCTATGGCTCCAAGGACCTTTTGGCTGGTTACCCAGCTCATAGACCTGTGTGAAGGGGTCTGGTGACCCAGCCTGGCATTTGAAGGGTTTGTGACCCAGTCTGTTAATGGGCTTGAGGGGTCTGGGAGCTCCAGACCCAGCCCTAGCTCAACAATTAGCCCAGTCGGTGCAGGATTACCAGCAGGTAAAAGCCCGACAACTGCCGTGGTTGTGTAGCTTTACAATTGACATCATGAACAGGATTAAGAGCTAGACAACTGGCGCTGTGAGCAGGATTCCAGACATTAGCCCGAGCGCCATACACCTTCCTACTTGGGAGTGGCCAGCCCTGGGGCAGCAGCTTGGTCATTTGGCTCTAGCCTAAACATTTTACTTGGGGTCCCCAGTGAAGACCCTCTCCCCTGCAGGGGTGCAGGCTGGAGGTGAGAAAAGGGAGGACGGGGGTGAGGGTGGGGGTGGCTGACCAACTGGTCTTCACAAGAGTCGGCCGGTGGGGGCTGGGCACACCAGGGACTGTGCCATCACAGGAGGTGAGGAGGGTGGAGAGCTCAGACGTGGGCTGCAGGAGGGGGCAGTGGGAGGCAGAACGATGCAAAGGCAGGTCAGTTACAAGCAAGAGGTACCCAGGGAGACCAGGAGAGACCTTGAAGAAAGGTGTGCAAACCCAGCAAACTAGCCTGTGCTAGTAGCAGCCAGGACAGGGGCTACCTGATGGGGGCAAGTGGTATGTGGGGCTCATGGGTGCTGGGAATGGGTTCTTGAATGCTCTGGAGGGTAGTTACATGGGTGGGGTCATTTCATGACAATTCCTGGAGCTGTTCACTTAGGATTCATGAGCCTTTCTGTATGATTGTTAGACTCCATTAAAAGATGTACTTAAGGGCTGGCCCCGTGGCGCACTCGGGAGAGTGCAGCGCTTGGGAGCACAGCGGCACTCCCGCCACGGGTTCAGATCCTATATAGGGATGGCCGGTGCGCTCACTGGCTGAGCGCGGTGCAGGTGACACCAAGCCAAGGGTTGCGATCCCCTTACCGGTCACATAAAAAAAAAAAAAAAAAAAAAAAAAAGGTATACTTAAAACCAAAGGGGAGTGGTAAGAAACAATGTGGTCAATGCCCAAGCCATTTGTGTAAATCAAGGAGGCATGCACACAAAACCCCAGAATTTAGCTGTTTTTCAGGAACACTAACAAGCTCAAGGTTCCATCACACACAGAGGATGGCTGCCTCTGGGGAGGGAAAGGGACCCAAAAGTGTTCTACCAGGGGTGAGAAATGGGCCAATCTCCCAGCTGACCCTGAGCCCAAAGACAAATACAAAGAGAGAATGAGGGAGCATTTCTCTGGGGAAATGAGAGCATGGGATGGCTCGTGGTTCTCCAAGTGTGGTCCCTGGACCAGCAGCATCCACGGTCATCTGGGAACTTCTCAGAAATGCAAATTCCTGTTCCACCCCTACTCTCTCCAGGCCTTCTGAATCAGAATCTCTGGCCTGGGCCAAGCAATCTGTGCTTTAACAAGCCTTCCAGGTGATGCTAATACCTGCTCAAGTTTGAGAGCCCATGCCTTAGAGAAATGACTGTGGGAGTGGGTGTCTGGTCCCTTGGGGGAAAAAATGAGGTGGCCTCAGCGGCTCACGCAGAGCATCATCAGTTCCCAGGGGACAGGGAAGCCTTGGGGCTGCCTGTAGAGCCAGGAGAGAGTTCTCTGCCCATCACCATGTATCCCCCACCCCAGGCCCACTCACCCAGCTTCCCAGAATCGTCTGGTAGGCCTTTATGCCTGACCGCTTGGAGGCCAGCAGAAAAGGTGGCGGGTTGACGTGTTTGCATTCCTTCTCCTGTGGAAGCCACACACCAGGACCTGATGTGGCCTAAGGGTAAGAAATGAAGGCTGAAAGCTAGAGGCCCTGGTAGTGGTCAGCCTGGGGCCAGGGCAGGTGAGAGCTCCTGGCAGCTAACCGCACCTGTCTAGCAGCCCTGGGTTGAGCCAAGGACGGTGGGAGGTCCCCAGCCACCTCCTAACAAAGGAGCCTTGTGGTGCCCTTATGACCCATGCCCCCAACTCTAACCTCCACCCAGCAGCAGGTTCCCAAGGGCCCTCATGATCTGGTAGGGTCCAGAGAGATGCTCCAGACCCCACTCTGGGGAGTGGAAGCCATGCAGGCCTCAGAGCTAGACAAGCCGGTTCCACTCCCAGCTCCTTCTTGCCCTTGCGGGGGAACTCCGGGCAGATCCCTCCCAGATGTAGGCTTCAACTTCCTTTTGTGAAGTGCATGATAGTCCCTCCCTCGGGGAGGCTGGAAAGTGCCCAGCAGGCATTCAGGATGCATTGGTACCCTTTTTCCTTCCCCCTTCCCATGCCCTTAGGGACAGACCCTGCATGGGGGGCATGAGTAAAGCCCAGGGCCTGCTCAGACCACTGGTTGCCACCCCCAGAGAGGACTGCCTTGCCACTGAGGCAGAGCTCATCATTGCCTTACACAGAGCAGGTGGGCAGACCCCATGAAGGTGGACACCCTTATTCATACTCTGCCCTGCCCAGTCTCCCTCTTGGCCTTTCTCCAGCATGCTGAGGGCCAGGAGACGGAGGGGCTGGGTGGAGCTCCACAATGGCTGGGCACATCCTGAGCACAGGGACCATGCCACAGGCTCTAAGCACACTTCATCTAATCCTCACAGCCATATCATGTCCTCACAGGACAGGCGTGTAAACTGAGGCTCGGAAAGTGAGAGGGTCTTACCCAAAGTGACTGGTAAGTGCAAGACCAGGATTGGAAACAAGGCTTGTCTGATCCCCAAGACTGAGACTTTCCCCTGAAAATAGCCACCCCACCCCCATCCCCGCAGGAGAGCCGCCATCCAAGAGAGGAAGGCAGGCCGTGGGGGCACACTGACTAGTTTTCGGGGGCACTGGCTAATGGTGGCCCAGTAAATCCTCTCTGTAGGGGTTTCCGGGTTTCGGGGAAGTTTCGAAAAAATCCCATGCTTCTTATTGTGACGTGAATTAAGTTCTTCCACAAAGCTCTTGACACTCATCAGTTCCCTGGGCTTTTTTTTCTGAGAAACAGAGAGAGAAAGAGATCTGTTATGACAGGGAAAGCAAGAGCGCCTGTTCTCAGCCCTCGCCAGCAGTCAGAGAAAAGCAAGTGCCAACACCAAGCAGGTGTTGCTCACCGCCCTGCCGGTGCAGATGGGCCGGGGCCAGGCTGTGCAGGGGCCAGGACAGCTCAAGGCCCACCCTGACCTGGGCAGGGAAACAAGACAGCCTCCCACGCACCAGCAGGTCGGGGGTGGGGGTTAGTCTCCTGCAACCCCCCCCACAACCGAGCTTGCCTTTACCCACGCCTTCTTTCTTTCACTCATTTACTGGACATGTATTGAGCCGGGCCCTGGGTGGAGGGATGTCTCAAATACTTAAAAACCAGTGTGACTGGAAAAGCACAGAGGATGTTCAGGGCAGTGAAACTATTATGTAGGATACTACAGGAGTGGATGCATGTCACGCATTTGTCAAAACCCACAGAATGTTCACCACCAAGAGCAAACCCTAAATTAGACTATGGACTTCGGGTGATGGTGGCATGTCCATGCAGGTTCATGGATTGTGACAAATGGACCCCTCTGGTGCGGGATATTGATAGTGAGGGAGGCTTGCGTGGGGGAAGTACGGGTAGGGGATGTATGGGAACTCTCTGTGCCTTCCATTCAATTTTGCTGTGAACCTAAAACTGCTCTAAAAAATGAAGTCTATCAAAACAAAACAAACAAATGCAACAAACCGCACAGCCTGGGCACTGGCCAATCAGACCAGGGGGTGGCTGCAGCACCTGAGGAGGGTCCCCAGGCCTCTGCTGTGCTGGGCAGGACCGCATTAGTGGCTGGTCATGGGGGTGCGGGGGGGCCCAGGGGAGCAGCCAGGTCAGAGGGCTCAGTTCAGTGGCTCTTTACCAACTGGTCCAAAAGTCTCTCGACATTAACCCCACCCCTGCCCAGCTCTCCCAAGGCCTCTGCATAGCGCTCATCCCCAGCTAACACTCTAGAATTTTTTAAAAACTCATTGATGATTGTTTTTCTTTTTCCATTAGAGTGTAAGTTCCCCAAGGGCTGGTTTCTCCTGCACCTAGACAATGACCTGGCCTGATTATACATACCAGGTCAATGCACAGTGGAGACAAAATGAACAGGTAATTAGACAAGTGCTTAATTCCAGTTGCTGTGAGCAGAAGAAAGCAGAGTACAGCGTGCTGTGAGGTCACAGAACAGGGGCTTGAGGGGGTAGGACAGGAGGCCCTCCAGCTAAAATTCTCCTTCAGTTGTCCCTCCCAGCCCTCCAGTTCTTGGCCTCATTAACAGACCACTGCCACTAACCCAGCCAGCATAGCTGGGTCTGTGTCCAAAACAGCAGGATAGCCAGCCCTGGGCTGTCGAGGTCCTGCAGGCTTGTGGCCAGTCTTCCATCCAGTCCTGGCACTGTGGGCCACCCGCACCTCCTGTGCAGTTCAGACCGATGCAGAGGAGAGAGAACTGGCCATGAAGTAGACAGACATATTTGTGTTCAAATCCCAGTTTGGCCCCTTTCCAGCTATGTGGCTAGCCTCAGTTTCCCCATCTCACACTCACACAAATAGCCAGATCCCATGCTGGCTTCAGGGTGGGAAAGGCCCTGGCACATAGGGTAGAGTTCCTGGTGTTGATTAGTGAGGCGTGTCATCCTGCTGGGGAATGAATGCCCACAACCCGCCTGGGTACACACCTGCACAGAGTAATGTCCATGAGGCAGAGGCTTGCTTCTGTCACCAGAGTAAGTGTCATAGGGGCCGCGAGTGCTGATGGATCGTGCCAGGTACATCTCGATGCCGCTTTTGAGGGAGTAGGTGCCAGGTCCCAGACCACTCCCCTAGAACACAGCAGAGGTGACAATGTCTGCAGGAGAACTGCTGATGCAGTGCCATCGCTCTCTCAGGGTCTTGGTTTTCCCATCTGCCTTGGGAGTCTCTCCCTCCAGGCCTGGCCAGGAGAGGGGGTACCTGATGCACCAAGGGGGGTGGCTTGTTGGTCATCCTGCACATGAGGCCCTCAGAATGGGACCGGTTCCAGTGGTTCTCCTCCAGCTTCGTGTATGGGTTGCCCTTCTCCCCATAATTTCCGGGGCCTGGATAGTAGTTCTGTGGGGTAGAGGTGGAGACGTAAAGACCATCAGTCTCCTAGCACTGAGTGCTTCTGAGGAAGATACACTGGGACCCCCATTCCCGAGAGGGGAACAGGATTTTCAGGGTGCCTGTGTGTTACCTGCCCCCCAATACACAAATTGTTGCCTGTGAGCCCCCATCACTGCTCACAGTTTCCTCCAAGTTCTGCCTCCTCACCAGGGTCTTCACTTTCAGACTGAGCACATGACATTCCACCCAACCTCCCTGCCCTTCCTTGCTTGTGCTGTTACCACCACCTGAAATGTCCTTCCTGCAAAGCAAGCTCAAACGTCATCTCTCCTGGGAACAAAGCCTTCCTGCCCCTGTCAGCCCAGACGGTTGCTGTTTCAGCAGCCTTGGCAGTTCCATCCCGCATTTACACGAATGGCTTTGTCATGGTGCTATGAACAGTACTATGGCACAGAGGAACCTGGAGTCCTGGTTCAGATCCTCACTCTGCTGCTTCCTACCTGAGTGGCCCCAGGCCTTCTGAGCCTCGTGGTCCATGTTGGTAACATGGAGATAGTAATACTTTCCTCCAGGGTAGTGAGGATGAAGTTAAATAACGTTTTTAAAGCCCCCTGCACAGTGCCCAGCACACAGTGAGTGCTGACACATGATAAGTCAGGGCGTGGGGGCTGACTGTCTGGGGAGGCAGGAGGAGAGGATAAAAACTATGGCTGGAATGGCCATTTGGGCCTGGACTGCGAGAGTCACAAGTGTAGTCTTTGTAGGAGTGAAGTGGCAGGGTGGGGTCCCTGGGTAAAGATCTGGCAGGATTTTTGCTTCTGCTCTGCACCTTTTAGCCACGCGGGGTCGCTGCCGCTCTACAGATGGCTCAGCCCTGCTCACCTCCGGACCCTGGGGAAACTAGGCAGGGCGGAGGGGGCAGGGACCTCTGTTGGGGAAGTCAGGCCACTGTGAGCATCAGATTTGTTCACACCTGGAAGAATGGGACTACAAGCTGCCTCCTTCCAGGGCCCAGGGTTCCCTGGTGGGTTCTGGAAAAAACCCCCAAGGGTCGGAAGCTGGGATCCGAAATCATGTCCTTGGTGTTTCACAGGCCCTACAGCAACCAGATGAGACCAAGTTAGTGCCATCTGAATGTCTGAGGTCCCAGCTCCAGAAAGGGGTAGTGTGAGGGTTCCAGCTCCAAAATCCATGTTCTTTTGAGCCTCTACTGTTTGCCAGGCACTGTGGTGGGCACTGGGGGAGTGGCAGGGAACACCACAAGTCTGGGAGACTTCAGAAATGAGGGTTAACGAAGGGGCAGAGTGGCCCTGCTCTGGAGTTAACGAATGGCGGGCCAAGCCCAGTGCTGGGCGCTTTGTTGGCATAATCTCTTTTCTTCTTTAAAACCTTCAGGTTCAGAGCTTTAATACCACATTTGGGCAGATGTGAAAGTCCATGATTTTAACTAGCATGTTATGTTGTCAGAGCTTTTGGGACTTAAGCAGGAATGATTAATTCCAAGGAGGTGGCAGGGGGTGGGAATGAGATTTTTTTTATAAGATTTTTTTTTAAGCCGGGCCTTGAAGAATGAGAAGGATCCCCAAAGACAGGTATAGGGGCGGTGGGGTGGTCCCCCAGGCAGAATGAGCAAAGGCAGATGCCCCAGTGCTGTGGGCTGGGGACACAGGAAAGAGACAGACGATGTCAGATTTGTCCCCCAACTTTTCTGCCATCAGCTGGGTTGCCCTCTGACATTAGACCCTGTTCTCCACAGACAATGGAGGAACAAAATCCAGGAACTGAGGGAGTCAAGCCTATGGTTAAAGCGCAGTTATTATACGCTAGACACCTTGGATTCAAGTCCTGCTTCTGCCACTCAGTAGCTCTGTGTTCTCATCTGTGAAGTGGACATAATGATGGTACCTACTTCACAGGATTGTTGTGAATATTAAATTAATTAGTACCGCTAAGTGCTGTGCTAAGTGTTTAGATCGAAGGTAATGACTCATGTTTAAGTGCCTCCAGGCATCCCCTCTCCCTAAGCTGCAGTTACAGCTTCTGCACCTGAGGACACATCTGCTCATCCTCTGAAGGTGGCAAGGAGTAATTTCCAGCCTTCATAGCAGGTTTCACAGTGGTGAGGTGTGGGAGAAAGCCCTGGGTTTGGGGTTGGACATTCAGTGTTTGGATCCCAGCTTGCCAGCTTGCAGCTGTGCAGCCTGGGCAAGTTGCTTATCCTCTCTGAGCCTCTAGGGACTCCTCAGGAGTGTCTGCAAAGAATTACAGGAATGTTTTGGATCACCTGGTACTTAGTAAGCATTCATGCACTTAGTCCACAAATACTGTGCGTGCCTGGCACTGCTAGGACCTCAGAATGCTGCAGTGAATGACTAGGCAGACATGGTCCACCCTCAGGGGCTGCTGTCCAGTGGGGGAGAGACACTAAACACACAACCACAATAGGGACTCCTGGGAAGGGAGATGTCACCTAGTGGGGGTCAGGAAGCCTTACGGAAGCTGAGTGCTGCAGGATGAGTGGGGGTGCCTTAGGCAGAGAGGCTGCTGGGAGAGGAAGGGCATTCCCAGCAACCAGTTGAAAGAGCATGGCACATCTGAGGGGCAACAGAGTGTCCGGTGCAGAGAGTTCAAGGGCAGGGGCAGAAGCAGCACTCAACAAACTGCGGAGCTTGCTCCCTCAGTAGGGGAGTGACTCCTGCCTTCTCCCTCGCTGAGCTCACTGAGGATACTCCCCACATGCACACAGGACGATCCTCCTGACCCACAGCCTGCGGCTGCAGCCCTCCTCCCACCCCCACCTCTCACCCATCACCTACCTGCATGCCTGCAGCCTCCTCCCAGCCCTGCCCCCACAAGCAGGGAGTTCCTCCAAAAATTTAAACCAGGTCCTTCCCCTGTCAAAGCCCTCCACTGTCCTCCCACAGCACTTGGAATGACACTGAAAGGCCTCACCTTGCTGCAAGGTCCTTAGGACCCAGCCACTCGCTCTTTTGCCCTCTGGCCTCCTCTCGCCCTCACCCACTCCCTCCAGCCACACTGGCCCCTGCCTGCTGGTCTAACTCAACAAGCCTGTTCCCACCTCTGGGCCTTAGCCTTTGCTGTTCCCACTGCTTGGAGTGCTCTTCTGCAGATATCGCAGATACCACGAGTCTTCTCTGTTGCTCACAACCTGCAGATTTTGCTCAAATGCTGCCTCCTCCCAGAAGCCTTCCCGGCCTACTCCATAAATTGCACTGCCATTAATCACTCTCTACCCTTTCCCTGTCTCACCTGTCCTCATAGCCCTGATTATATATGTATTTCCTTCTTTGTACTGTTGTTTCTACCACTAGAACATCTGCCCCATGAGTGCAGGAACCTTGTCTTAATCACTGCTGGATCCCCAAGGCCTAGGACAGTGCCTGGCACTTACTAGGTGTTTATTCATTATCTCCTGGCTGTATATACAGATAGGTGAACTTATTGAGCAGTGAATGTGTGCTGGGCTCTCTGTGGGGGACCCAGAGGTGAACCAGACCTGTACCTGCCAGAATGTATGACAGCCAGTGGGCTCAAGGCTGTGGCACTAGAAGGCAGAGGGGCTATGGGGACCCAGAGGGGAGCCTGGACAAGCCTGGGCAAGAGACAGCTACAACCAAGGGCATTCGGTGAATTTATTGAGCAGTGAATGTGTGCTGGGCTCTCTGTGGGGGACCCAGAGGTGAACCAGACCTGTACCTGCCAGAATGTATGACAGCCAGTGGGCTCAAGGCTGTGGCAAGAAAGCAGAGGGGCTGTGGGGACCCAGAGGGGAGCCTGGACAAGTCTGGGCAAGAGACAGCTACAACCAAGGGCATTTCCAGCACCACCCAGGCTACACGCTCTGCAGGCAGAGCATGGAGGGTAGGAGGGATCCTGCTGATATATGAGAACACCTACCCCAATGAGTCCTCGGAAGCGAATCTCCCCAGAGCTGAGCAGCCCTCGGGTGCTACATGGTTTCTGCTGTAGCAGTTGTAAGAAGTCTTTGAAGTTGTAGGAGCCGGGCCCCAACTTTTGCTCCTTAAGAGAAGAGAGCAGAAGACAAACTTTAAACTTGGGAATGTCCACGCAGGAAGGAGCCCAAAGGACGATGGTACTCCTGGAAGGATGAGCTCCACCTGGACACTGAAGGCCACACTTGGAACAGCTGCAGTAGACAGGAAGACCTGGCCCCAGAGGTGGGGAGAGGCAGTCCCACAGGTCTCACCTGCTGCTGCTTCTCTCTCATGATGGCCTGGTACTGGAAGTGGGGCAGCTTGGTCAGCCGGGTGGCTTCCTGTGCCTTGGCCCAGCCTGTGTCCATCTCCTTCTTCAGCTTCTGCTTGCTGAAGCAGGTTTCCTTGGAGCTGTAGATCCCAGGCCCTATGTGGGACTGAGCCAGACGGCGGTCAGAGCTGTGCCAGCCACATCCACCCAGCCCACCCACAGAGCAAGTCCTCACCAAGCCACCACCCTGACTGGGGGTGGGGACCAGGCAATTCCCCTCTGCTGCCCCCACCCCCAGCACCAAGCCTGGCATCCCAGGGCTTGGCACTCGAGGTGCAATCCCGACACCCTCTGTCATTGGCCCCATCACACTTCAGGGATGTACAGTGACTTGTTCATGAGCCCCTAGCTAGTCAGTGCAAGAGCTGGGCATGGAAGCCATGTCTCTTGGGCCCCAAACTCATGCTGTTTTCACTACAGTCCTGTATTTATCAAACATGTCAGAAGCCCCGACTCTGGGCCAAGCTCTGTTCTGGGGGCTGCAGGCATGAAGAGCTATAAGGTATGCCCCATACACCACTCAGCTTGCCCACCCTGGTGGGTGACTCGGAGGGGCAGTGGCCACGCCACATAGAAGGAGTCAAGGAAGCTGTACAAACTCACCATTTCCACGGAATGATACCTGGAGTATGGGGCCTCGGTGAAGGTACTGAACTTCTTCTGGTTGGGGTAAACAGCGGAAACGTCAAACCTAGGGAGGGAGAGGGACAGAGGCCCAGTAAGGGCCCCATGCCTGGCATCTGGCCCTGGCCTGGGCAGTTCTGGGGCTGGGGAAGTTGGCTTCCCAGGGAGGTGACTATGGAGCTGGCCCATGAAAGATAAGCGGCTGGGTTGCAGTGGCTTGGAACATTCCAGGGCTGCTCCTGCTCCCACCCCTTCCAGCTCCTCCTCCCACCTTTGTTTTTCCCATAGCTGTTACACTAACCAGCATTTCATATATATTTTGTTGCTGTTGTTTATTATCCCCCCCACCGCCCTCCCTGACAAGGATGGAAACCCCATGAGTACCAGGTTTTGATCTTTTGTTCACTGCTGTAGCCCCAGATTCTACAACTGTGCCTGGCACATGGTAGGTGATATATGTACATATCATATATTTATGAGGGTGCTTCAAACAGTTCATGGAAAGATCTGTACTGTCTTTCAGTCCTGTTTTTCCGGGAACTTGGGAGGAGGGGAGGAGGGGAAGAAGGGAGGAAGGGAGGAAGGGAGGAAGGAAGGAAGGAAGGAAGTTAGACACCTGGGCTCATCCCACCCCTGACTTTTTAGCTGAGCGGCCTACTGTGGGCCAGGCCACGTGGCCTCTCCCGCGATGGTTTTAGAGAACTTGCTGAGGGCGGTGGAAGAGCTCGGGGCAGGAGTGCGCGGCGTGAGCGGGGAGGGAAGCAGGCCCCTCACTGCCGGCCCCTCCCCCAGGCTCGAGTCCGCGGACCCGCTGCATCCCGGGCCCCACCTGTGGCTCTGCACCCCGAAGGGCGCCCCGCTGAACCACTTGGTGGCCGTGGCCACGGAGCCGGCGCGGCCCCAGTCGCGGGAGCCNGGTCAGCCGGGTGGCTTCCTGTGCCTTGGCCCAGCCTGTGTCCATCTCCTTCTTCAGCTTCTGCTTGCTGAAGCAGGTTTCCTTGGAGCTGTAGATCCCAGGCCCTATGTGGGACTGAGCCAGACGGCGGTCAGAGCTGTGCCAGCCACATCCACCCAGCCCACCCACAGAGCAAGTCCTCACCAAGCCACCACCCTGACTGGGGGTGGGGACCAGGCAATTCCCCTCTGCTGCCCCCACCCCCAGCACCAAGCCTGGCATCCCAGGGCTTGGCACTCGAGGTGCAATCCCGACACCCTCTGTCATTGGCCCCATCACACTTCAGGGATGTACAGTGACTTGTTCATGAGCCCCTAGCTAGTCAGTGCAAGAGCTGGGCATGGAAGCCATGTCTCTTGGGCCCCAAACTCATGCTGTTTTCACTACAGTCCTGTATTTATCAAACATGTCAGAAGCCCCGACTCTGGGCCAAGCTCTGTTCTGGGGGCTGCAGGCATGAAGAGCTATAAGGTATGCCCCATACACCACTCAGCTTGCCCACCCTGGTGGGTGACTCGGAGGGGCAGTGGCCACGCCACATAGAAGGAGTCAAGGAAGCTGTACAAACTCACCATTTCCACGGAATGATACCTGGAGTACGGGGCCTCGGTGAAGGTACTGAACTTCTTCTGGTTGGGGTAAACAGCGGAAACGTCAAACCTAGGGAGGGAGAGGGACAGAGGCCCAGTAAGGGCCCCATGCCTGGCATCTGGCCCTGGCCTGGGCAGTTCTGGGGCTGGGGAAGTTGGCTTCCCAGGGAGGTGACTATGGAGCTGGCCCATGAAAGATAAGCGGCTGGGTTGCAGTGGCTTGGAACATTCCAGGGCTGCTCCTGCTCCCACCCCTTCCAGCTCCTCCTCCCACCTTTGTTTTTCCCATAGCTGTTACACTAACCAGCATTTCATATATATTTTGTTGCTGTTGTTTATTATCCCCCCCACCGCCCTCCCTGACAAGGATGGAAACCCCTCCCACCCCTGACTTTTTAGCTGAGCGGCCTACTGTGGGCCAGGCCACGTGGCCTCTCCCGCGATGGTTTTAGAGAACTTGCTGAGGGCGGTGGAAGAGCTCGGGGCAGGAGTGCGCGGCGTGAGCGGGGAGGGAAGCAGGCCCCTCACTGCCGGCCCCTCCCCCAGGCT